CCCAGCCCCCATCCACGCTCTTCCCCCTCCTTCCCGTAACTTTTGTTTAGGGGGCGGGGGGAAGAGTATGGAGAAGCACAGGTGAAGGGAATTTCAAGAAAGTAGAACAGTGCAAACAGGAACGAGCAGGTCCATTGTTTATCACAACGAAATGTGTCAAGTAAAACATGTGTCTGGGGCAAGTAACAACATCAGCAGACTAACAGACGTTGTCACACCTCGAATAAAACTTGGCTACAAGTATCTCTGGCAGCTGGGCTTGTATAGGGATGTAGGTGAAGTGCAAAGTGTGTGAACAAAGACGGACACATACACTTGAGCATTATATTTTGGGCTGAAATGAAATTGAGCCATTTAGAGATAAATCTAAACTGACGCTGGAGGAAATCGCGTCAGTAATCCATCTTATTACTAAAGAATTAAATATCTGAAATCCTTGCACTATATCCATATTTCGCTTCCAGTACATATGAAATTACGAAGCAAGTAGTGTATTGTGAAGACAAATAATAACAAACAGCAGCTCCCCTTTGAGCCTGTTGAAATTGAGCATTCTCTGTAAATACCTGACATTATAATTATAAGGTGTGAAGGATAGATGAAACTGTTAAGGTAATAATCTCCGTTGAGGTCTGTTGAAGATCTTTTATGCCCTCTGTAATCCTTTTTTGCACTACCGCTCACGGGATGAATATGGGGTGCACAATAAACTAGCCGCCTCTGGTGGCAACAATAAAACAAAGGAGTGAAGGTTTAGAAACGGGAAATAGTGCAAATTAGGATAGGAGGCGGACTGTCCGCCTTGCTGACACGATGTGTGGGTGTTGGCAGCTATGCTAAACTTGCTCTCTCGTCAGGGAGCTGTGAGTACGTGTGAGGTTCTTCACATGTATTGCAGCATATTGAAAAGGTAGAGAATGGTAATTGGTCTGTAGTTTTTAGTTTCACTTTCAAGTTACTACCCCCGTGACCCCACTCCCCCTCAACCCCCCTCCGTGAGGTGATAACGATCCTTATCTCCCCGACGACAGGAACACAAAGCTAGCACAATCCTCAGAAAAGTAGTAAGAGACTTTTAATACTAAACCAATTGTGAGGGCGAAAAACAGTCATAAAGGAACCCGCTCTGTAAGCTGGTAATATTAATCAGAATCTAACATAAAGAATCACAAGCTTAACAAAACAGGAAACAAGAACGTAAACAGGAAATGAAGATTAATGATGATCTCTCCGTGTTTTGTATAATACAGTGATGAAATCCCAACTCAAAGAATGCGTGTGAGAGACAGGGACTTCAATTATCTTCAGGCAGGCATCCGAATTCTGCCGGTGTAGGCTACTCTGTATGACTAACCTTCCTGCGAGATGGAGATCGAGTACCACATGACTATCTCTTAACCCAAACTATGCAACCCTTCATATAACCTCGAATTGCTATATATAAATGAACATGTACACAAGTATGTTAATTAAAACAAAGGTATTATGTTGGTGCTACTGTAACCGAGAGGTTCAAATCTCTCGGTACATGACTACGCCTTTGTGATAGGCTTAGCCCAGATACAGTGCTGTACTTCGTTTTCTCTCTCCATAATTCTTCTGCTCACGGATGTATACAGCTTGACAACTGGTAAAAGTAAGCCATGTGAAAGTAATTCTAGGCTTCTGGAGAGTGAATCATTATTGATATGTTGCATGAGGCAAGCCTAGTCTACTCTCATATTTAGGAGAGGCTTTAGTAAGGGAGGGGGTAGGGGGGGTTGTCGAAACTACAAATCCCACTTTGGTAGTGTTAAAAGTAGACCTCTTTCTATAAAAAAGGGCATTATGGATCATAAGAGTTTATAAATTGTATCTAAATTAAGTCTAGCCTATGTCGAGGTTCTAAATTTATTCACAAATTTCATTGTCTGTAGAGCTACGTTATAAAGTTTGTCAGGGTGGTTTTAAGTGTTTAATAATCAAGCTGTATTTGTAAGAGTAAATTGTATTATTATGTGAGGTTAGAGGAAATTATATAGTTTATTCAAGCATGTTGATAAATGTGTTTTTTCCTTATTAAGTAATAAACAATATAAAGGTCATATTTACAAGGGAAATACTACGTTTATATATATATATTTTATACAATTCTCAGTAAACCCATTTTCCATAACACCGAGCATGAGCCATAAACCCCAAATGTTATACTTGATCCGCCAAGGGAGACATTTTCAGATCCTAGGCAGGACTGTCCGCTGATTGGTGGATGGCGGCCGTGCGCAGCCTTCTTGCGCAGAGCCTCCGCGCAGGTCTGGGGAGGGTCACTAGGGATAGAGATGACCCTCACATGACCCAGGATGGACGAGGCCCACCCGGCACCCACTGGTACTTACGACATGGACTAACTGACTGACTGACGAGGCTTTGTCACCCCTATACCCTACCTCCCCTGGGGCCAGATTCACGAAAGCACTTACGAACGTGCACATCTTTCCTCAATCTTTGACGGCTTTGGTTACATTTATTAAACAGTTTACAAGCAGGAAAACTTCCCGTTCAACTGTTGTTTTTGTTATAAACAACCTCCTGGTGTTTCGGAGCTCATTAACTGTTTAATAAACGGAAACAAAACCGCCAAAGATTGAGAAAAGATGTACAGGTTCGTAAGTGCTTTTGTGAATCTGGCCCCTGAGTGGCCTAGAATTGCTTCACCTGCCTTCCCCGACGACTACCGCTCAAGGTGAACTATTGTACTTGGTATTATATCACACCACGTGGCGACCCTCTCCACATTGTTGTATTTTTAATTCTCGCATTTATGATAATATAAAACATCGTACTAAAAGAGCCCTTATCCTAACATACCAGAGGACTCAAAACAGAAAAACGGGACAGTATGTCAATTTCACTGAGTTACTACCATTTTCTAGTACGACGATTGTTGTCCCTTATGTAGAGTATACGTCAAAATGCGACGTTCTACTGAGAGGACAGATTTGATAACCAGGAGCCAAATTCACAAAAGCAGTTACGCAAGCACTTACGAACCTGTACATCTTTTCTCAATCTTTGGCGGCTTTGTTTCCAATTATTAAACAGTTAATGAGCTCCGAAGCACCAGGAGGCTGTTTATAACAATAACAACAGTTGAGTGGGAAGTTTTCATGCTTGTAAACTGTTTAATAAATGTAACCAAAGCCGTCAAAGATTGAGGAAAGATGTACACGTTCGTAAGTGTTTGCGTAACTGCTTTCGTGAATCTGGCTCCAGAATGCAAACATTTTCCTTTGTCCTCCACCATGGACAGGGTTAGTTCAGAGACTTATTGAACAATCGACCCAGTTCCTGACGATCGTGTCCCGTGCGCACTAGGCTAGTGCCCCTGACATCAACAACGCACCTGTTGATATTGTCCATAACAAATAACAAACGTATAGGCAATATATTCCCAACCCTAAAAAAAATTGAACAAAATTTTCTAAGCCCGTTCTATACGTAATTTGTATCGCCACAAGATAATGTATACAGAAGATGTCAAAAAGTTCATCACACCAATTAGAAAACTCCCTTTGGGCCTATGAAAATATTATGAAGATTTGATTTACATTCTCTACAGATATGACGCGTAGGCCTAAGGAGAAACTGACTGTAGCATACAAATAAAAAGACACAAGGGGATATTTATATCAACATAAAATAGTACACGGAACAATGGCTCCAACTTGGACAAATTTACATTCAGAAAATAACTTGGTATATATATAAGGTTTGATAATAGGGTTGTAGAGTTATAAAACAGATTACCTACAACTGACGTGCGATAGCTGGATTAGTACAAGCATAGGTTAGACTTGTATATGTCAATATACTTCCTGCAGTGTCCTCAGTTTTGTCCTTACAAGAAAACTGAAAACCTTGGAATTATTTGAATTCTTTTGTTATCTTTTGCAGTGCTGGAAAACGACAACAATGAAGTGTTGAACAACAAATCTAAAGTTGACTGTAAACTTAATTTACAATAAGGTTTATTTGAATTATATCTTCTATTTTCATTCGCCATTAGCGCCCAAGGCCATCACTTGCATGGCGTGACAAGGGTTTGTTTAAACTAACCAAACTGACCAGTGGTTGGAGTTAAGCATTATTACTACAACCTTGTGTTACATCCTAAAGCTTCTAGTGTTACATCCTAAAGCTACCTATTGAATTATTCTTTCCAATTTACACTATCATATCTTTTTTTTTACCTATCTACTGCATCATACTACCTTCTCTCCTGCTATTACATTATACTTTTTTATCTTCAAGAAAATACAATATAAATCATATATACGTAAGTGTTACAAGGCAATACTACATTATAATTATCAGTGAACAAGTGTTTCATTATCACAGAACATGATCTTTAAAACCCCTGAATGTTATACTTATTTTTCTTTAAATGATTTATAAAAATTGGAGATTTACATTAATGTACAGGGGAAATGATTACATTTATATATATTTTATATAATTCTCAGTAAATAAATGTTCCATATCATCACCGAGTATGAGCCGTAAACCCCAAATGTTATACCTGATCCTGCCTCGCCAGAACTTCAATATTTTGTCTACTGAGTAACCCTACTGCCTGCCCACACAAAAAAAATGTAATCAGAAAGTAACATAATTATTGTTAATTTCTGATTACATTATACTATCTTACATTATACTAGCCTATTCCATGCTGCATCAATCAATTGCATTAAATATTCTACTGATTCATCCCCAAGTTCTCTCTACGGAAAAATAAATTAACTGAAAACGATTAAAACATTCAATTACTTACTAATTGTTATTTAATGAATTAACTGACGCTCGAGGAAACTTCAGATATAAATGAAAATAGTTCGCAAATCACCTATTTGTCGAGTGCCAATCAGACCCTTACTTCAAACACAGTAAACAAACAAGGAAAAACAGAACCAAGCCATTCTCTCAAACCACAAACACCGCAGTTTACCACAGTAAACACTGACCTTTAAATGGCTCTTTATTATCCACAGACGAAACGACAAAAATCCTAGTTTGATGTATAAGTTCCAGGGATAATAAGAGCACTGATATATCCCGGTGAGGAGGTAAAGGGGATGGGTTAGATGAGCACAGTGAAGGCGGGGAGCGGCGAGGCGCGACACACCCTCCACCTCACCTCAGGCAACACTGACAGTCACTACCACTAAAGCCACTGGCAATCCCCTCCTCAGTTACCACCTCGTGGTTTAAGCTGGGGGTTTCTTGTGTGTGGTGTTCTTTGATACATGACGGTGGTGTGGTGGTGGTGCAGTGGTGTAGTGGTGGTGAGTGGTGCAGTGGTGGTGAGTGGTGCAGTGGTGGTGCAGTAGTGGTGAGTGGTACAGTGGTGGTGCAGTGGTGGTGAGTGGTACAGTGGTGGTGCAGTGGTGGTGAGTGGTACAGTGGTGGTGCAGTGGTGGTGAGTGGTACAGTGGTGGTGCAGTGGTGGTGAGTGGTCCAGTGGTGGTGCAGTGGTGGTGAGTGGTACAGTGGTGGTGCAGTGGTGGTGAGTGGTACAGTGGTGGTGAGTGGTACAGTGGTGGTGCAGTGGTGGTGAGTGGTGCAGTGGTATAGTGGTGGTGCAGTGGTATAGTGGTGGTGAGTGGTACAGTGGTGGAGAGACTGGTGCATTGGAGGAGATGAGTGGTACAATGGTAGAGATAAGTGACACATTGATATATATATATATATATATATATATATATATATATATATATATATATATATATATATATATATATATATATTTATATTTATAATATTATGATGGCTTTGCAAGTTGCATTCAGGAGTGTTTTAACTCCTGGATGTAACTTACAATGCACCCAAGAGTTAAAAATCTCCCAGGTGCCTATTTTACTGTCAGGTGTACAGAGAAATTAGGCGAAAGGTAACTTGCCCAATCGTATCTGTCCCACCCTGAGATTGAACTCTGGCATTGTTATAGGCCCCATATATACCTATGTCCGACCACAACGTATTGAGAGTTACTCAAGCCAGCCTCGATGCTCAACAGATGGGTTCGAGTCCTTTCCAGGAAGGATTGACTAGGCACCAATCCTTAGCTGTTCACCTAGCAGTAATTGGGCACATGGTTCCTAATCGACTGGCAGGTCGAGTTCCAAGGAAAACTAATATCTTTTTGAGGTTATCTTGAGATGATTTCGGGGCTTAGCGTCCCCGCGGCCCGGTCCTTAACCAGGCCTCTTTTTTGTTAAACATCCCAAGGAATTAGCCCATAACAGCTGTCTAACTCCCAGGTACTTATTTACTGCTAGGTGAACAGAGGCATCAGGGTGAAAGAAACTGTCTATTTGTTTCCTGGGATCGAACCCAGAACCTTAGGACTACGAATCCCGAGTGCTGTCCACTCAGCTGTCGGGCCCCTTTTATTAGGGTAGGGGTTCGTTTGTCAAACAACATGGGTAATAGTTTTGAACGGGGCACTTCCACCGTTTGTCTTACAAACTTTGAAGCATTAACAACAGCAGCAGCAGAAGTACCAACAGACGCAGCAGCAGCAGCAACAACTACAGCAGTACCAGCAGACGCAGCAGCAGTACCAGCAGACGCAGCAGCAGTACCAGCAGACGCAGCAGTACCAGCAACAGCAGCAGCAACAACAACTACAGCAGTACCAGCAGCAGCAGCAGCAACAACAACAACAGTACCAGCAGACGCAGCAGCAACAACAACTACAGCAGTACCGCACAAGTCAGCAGTGAGAGTGACTAAAGATATCTTGGTAATAACAATTATAATGAAGACCAAACCGGCATAGTTCAACAAGTCTCACTTGCTGGAGAGCCAGACAAAGACACCCACATTCAGGGACACGTGTGTGTGTGTGTGTGTATTCACCTAGTTGTGCTTGCGGGGGTTGAGCTCTGCTCTTTCAGCCCGTCTCTCAACTGTCAATCAACTGTTACTAACTACTAACTAATTTTTTTCCCCACGCACACACACACAGGAAGTAGCCCATAACAGCTGTCTAACTCCCAGGTACCTATTTACTGCTAGGTACCAGCGGCGGCATCAGAGTGAAATAAACTCTGCCCCATCTGTTTCCCCTGACGCCAGGAATCGAACTCCGGACCACAGGATTACGTATCAAGCGTGCTGTCAACTCAGCCACCAGCGCCGTCGTGTGAGCGTTCATGTACGCGTAAATGTATTCGATGTGAAATGTAAATGTATACATTTATGTAAATGCGATGCGATGTAAAATGTATACTTCACGTTCATGTACGCGATGACACATGGCCACACATGTATTACTGGAGACAACATGACACATGGCCACACATGTATCACTGGAGACAACATGACACATGTCCACACATGTATCAGACTTCAAGCCTGGCGTCGCCACCCTGCCCAGATCATAGTCTTCCTTCTCTACCAAACATCTGCTTCTACTTTACAATTACGAGACTTGAAGAAGTCCCCCCTTTAAGGAAAGAACAAAAATACCGTTTTCTACGCTACTCCCTTTGTCCTCAATCTGTTTAATTCTTCACAGACTTTTGCCCCCCACGCGAAGCCTATTAGAATAAGTGAAAAAAATAGACAGCAAAACGAAGAAAAAGAAAGGTGAATTAAATTAGAAAAAACTTGAGGCATCTACATTTGAAACTATGTAAGGAGTCTGTCCCTACCACCTCGATTGTTGCTTAGTGAATTCCATTTGTATATTCTGATAACGAAAATAAACATTCTAATGTCTATGTGACCACTAAATAGTTTATAGTTCTATTCCCAGGAGTATTTTGTATGTGGTAATTATGTCTCACCCTCTCCCTGCTGCGTTTCTGTGAAGATATATTACCCTTTCCTTGTAAATCATACCTCTCAGCTCTAGTGTAACGGGGGGTGGGGGAAATAGCTCTATCTTGTCCATTATTCCACCCCCCAGTTAACTAACGAGGCCGGGGGAAACAGCTCTCTCTAGTCCGTTATCCCGTCCCCAGTTAGCTAACTATTCTAGAGCACCTCCAGAGTTCCTAAGGCAACCTCTCTCGTTCAACACCTTGTAACCTAGGTATTTGACTACCTAGGTGCTAAGACTACAAGGCGCCGTCACTTGATCAGTTACCCGAAACTCTAGAGAGAACTCTAGAATACAGAATCATTGCCACAAACGTATAAGAGAAAACGAGAGGAAAGAAATGAATAGTGAAGTAATTAGTGAGGGTTTGGGGTGAGAGGCAGAGGGGTGGGAGGAGCGAGGAGGGTCATTAGTTGAAAGTGAGAGTTCAGAGAGGGGTGGAGGGAGAGGTATAGATAGGTTGAAGTAGAAGAGTAGATAGTAGAAGTAGAAAGTAGATAGTAGAAGACGAAATGCTGCCACCATCCATTCATGATCATTACATACAAGACAAGGAATGGAACTTGCCTGTATCACAAAATTCTCAAAGGATGTTATCATGAGTTCATTATTAGTAGTTCCCATCTTTATCATGTACTCATTCTAAACCATGAAACCAGTAACCACAGAGGCTTTCTCACCTCAACTCAAAGCTCTAGGGAACAAAGTTAAACACAATTTAAATAATAAATTCATAATTATATTTCCCATGAAGTATCATAATTTAACAATTCAATTAAAATGTTCCAGTTTAATATGCAAAGTGAGTCATCATCCAAGAATTCGAGAACCCTACAACTTGACTGCCCCTGATCATCACACAACATATGTAAACACGACCAAGTCACCTCACTGTTCACTCACCGAGGACTGAGTCTAAGTTGAATAGAGAGGGGGGGGGGGGTCTGTAGCTGACAGAGACTCCCGCCCTGCCGGCCGACAGCCTCCCTGGTAGGGCTGTCTTCTCTGCTCTCGTCTGCTGTTCTGTCTCTTAATGCTTCTTGCTCGATAGTTCTCCGAGTTTATATTGGGGAACCTAGTAGCTAACTCCGCCCACAAGTAGATAGCCTCCGGCACTACCAAGCCACTCCTTAAACGTCGGCTTGTTTGAAGGCTACCAGACTACAATTAAGAGCTTAGCGGAAGCAAGGTGAAATTCTCATGATCTGACCTCAGGTCACTTGAGGTCATTAGCGCTTTGAGGTGTGAGATCTCAGGCAGACAACTGGCGCCTCTCAGATCCTTGTCTGTGACTCATGTACTCTATATATATTTTAAATAAACTAACTCAAACACTTTTACAGTGTTACACTAGTACTAGTCTCTTAGCATATCTTTTACTTTCCGAGGCTTCGATTTTTATGCGGGGATATTAGGGTAGGATATTAGGTAAGAATATGAGGGTAGGATATTAGAAAGGAAGATAAAGGAATGGTATAATGCTAGGATATAAGGGCAAAATATAAGGAGCACAACATACCACCGCTGGTCCAAGTCACTTCTCACCGCTCGTCCAAGTCACTTCTCACCGCTCGTCCAAGTCACTTCTCACCGCTCCTCCAAGTCACTTCTCACCGCTCGTCCAAGCCACTTCTCACCGCTCCTCCAAGTCACTTCTCACCGCTCGTCCAAGTCACTTCTCACCGCTCGTCCAAGTCACTTCTCACCGCTCGTCCAAGTCACTTCTCACCGCTCCTTCAAGTCACTTCTCACCAGCACGCAACACCTCACTCCGCCTCTGGCAGAGTGTAAATTTACAATAACTGTTTTGTGAAGGAGTTTTTCATCCTCGTGGTCAAGGTGAATAATAGACGATCCTGGGACACGGTACAGTGGACCTGAACACGGTACAGTGGACCAGGACACGGTACAGTGGACCTGGACACGGTACAGTGGACCAGGACACGGTACAGTGGACCTGAACACGGTACAGTGGACCAGGACACGGTACAGTGGACCTGGACACGGTACAGTGGTCGTGGACACGGTACAGTGGTCGTGGACACGGTACAAGGGACGTGCACACGGTATAGTAGACGTGGACACGGTACAAGGGACGTGGACACGGTACAAGGGACGTGGACACGGTACAAGGGACGTGGACACGGTACAAGGGACGTGGACACGGTACAAGGGACGTGGACACGGTACAAGGGACCTGGACACGATAAAAGGTACACGAATACGGTACAATGTAAAAATCCACGTTTCTTGTACCGTGCCAACATCCACTGTATCGTGCACAATGAAATCACAACAGTATATCTCACATTTGTTACATTAGGCTAGTATAGGT